CTAGTAGGCATGTCGATGTGGTAAGCATCATGAACTGATTGTTTCTTTCGGCGAGTGAATTGTTCTGGGGATGTCCTGGAAGCGACTGGTCTAGTGGAATCCGGAGTTCCTTGAGTGCTGCTTCAAACTGTGGCGCATCATCCGAGTAAGCATTGATGACTTTTCTCTTACCGATATAGTGCTTCATCGCTTGCACTACCTCGTCACTATTGCTTGCTTTCAATGGATAACCCCATATCACACCGGTGAACCGATCTCGAATCACCAATACATCCTTATCCGGCATGATCCCATCTCTCGCCATCTTCTGAGTGTTCATGAGATCGAAGGTGATAAGGTCACCGAATGCCTTCAATTTCCGTTTGAAAGCTCCCTTGCTAGTCTTGTAGTGCTTCATCTTTGCTCTCACACATGACTTGCAGTATGGGTTCTTGTATCGGTGCGTCATCAGGTGTAATATGGATTTCGCCTCGTTCTTCAGCACTCCTGGTTTTGATAGTCTGGCTTCCCCGTCGACCACATCGACTTCCAATAGTCCCTCTTCATCTTCACCAATGTCACTCTCCTCTCGTTCAGAATCCGCATCACCTCCATGTTCGTCGTCTTCGGCTTCTTCAGGTTGGTCATCGAGATCACGATCGATTCTCGGGTCTTCCCCGTCGTATCCCTCTTCAGGAGAATATCCGTCATCGTCGTGTTCCTCTGGTTCTCCCTCGTCGCCTACAACTGCTGGATTGATATCGGATTCACCATCCTGATCTCTCTGGTTACCCTTCTTCTTTCTCCTCCGTCTCCGTGGCTTCTTGGGCGGAGGTTCCTCTTGCTGTGTCTCCTGACCTGCTGTGGCCTCGTCTTCATGCCCCACACCTGACAGTATGCGATGAAGTATCGTAGCCAAGCCGTCTGGTCTTGGTAAACATCTCCCGTCGTCATCATTCACCTTGATGTAGGGTATGTTGTCATGTACCGATAGCGGAATTTTACTCGCGTTCTGGTCGATGAGGTATGGCAATTGATTTGCCGGCCATATGAATGAGTATCCTTGTTCCATGCACCGCTTCCCGATGGAAAAGACTGATGGTGTGCTCTCCAACACATGTGCCTCGGACATCAAGGGTAGTTCATCCACATTGATGTCCACCATCTCTGATGTACTGGTTACACCATTCGCTGTCATGAAGCTCACGGATTTGGGTCCTTCCTTGGTGGTAAGGCCCATGGCATTGACTTTCTCTCTTGATATCAAGTCGTGTCCACATCCCGTGTCCATGATGAAGCGTATCGGTGGTCCATCATACCTCTCCACAGTCATGAACATTGTGTCTCCCGGTATCGTGTAGTTGACAGAATCCTTCTTTACTACCTCGCTGGTGCTGAAGTCTGACAGGTCGACGTTCACCTCGATTCCTTCATCTTGAGTGATTTGTATCCATGCCTTGGCAATGTGTTCAGCAGAAAATAACTCCATCATCTTACCTTTGGCATGTGCTACTCGTGCAGCTATATGGTTCACTCTGAGGGCTCTCAACGATGAAATGAGCTCGGTATCCACCTTCTGTACCTCACTCTTCTTCTTCCTGAGGGGACGGGTGTTTAGCTCGTTACCAGGATCGCAGGGAAACGTGGTCACATTCGCCTGGTCATCGAATCTGACTTTAAAGCGAAGCGCCAACCCACCTCGTCGTATGTTGGGAAGTGCTGGTTGCATGTCCTCGTCATCACTCTCGATGTCCCCGCACAGCATGAAGGCTGGCGCAGCTGGTTTGGGCTTGGCTTTGCCTTTAGCCTCTTGCTTTGCCGCAGGAGCAGCTTGGTGTTGACGTCGACATTTGTCCCCGAACTTGCACGATCCTTTCTGCCAATTCCAACAGACCTGATCCTTCATTGGCTTAGGGCTAGTGCTCCTACCACCAGGACTCTTTGATCTGTCACCCTTGAGGTTATCTGGTTTCTTAGCAGAACTTTTGTGCTTCTCCTGGTGACTAAACTTGCATTTGTCTCCTCTAGAACATCCGTTTTTCCCATGGAAGTGGAAAGCGCATCCTATCTTGGACGTGTCTGCCGGAGTCGCTGATCTGCCACGATCCCCTTTTGGGCTCTTCGTGGTTGACCTTCCACGATCCTGCTTCTTGTCCTTCTTTTGGTGATCCTTCGGATTATTCTGAGGAAGTACTGGAGCGGCGTCCTTCGGTGGATCGGCCTTGGTATTCTTGGGCTTCGCTTTAGGGTCCTTCTTCTCCGCTGGTGTAGCCTTCATGAGGTTCCCAAAAGCTTTTTCCCTTTCTTTCTTATTTGTGGTCTCGATTGATTTCCGTATCCACTTCGCCATAATCTCCCGTAACTTCTGATAGGTCTTATCCGGATCCTTATCCAACATGTTGTCGTACACGGACAAGTCTAACGCCATAACTTTGGAATCTTTAATCTTGTCCCAAAGCAGGTTGAGGAGTGCTTTGTCAGGAAGCATGTCATCCGCATCCATACCTGATATGATCTCATCCCACTGTCCAAGGAATCTGGATAGTTGATTATCTCCAGGGAACTTTAGATCGAATAAGTGCTTAGATGCATACATCACATCGACGTTGTCGGCACTCCGGAAGCTATCGACGATCAACGCTAACATTTCTCGTCCCTTAACCATTCCCGGAGTCGTGCCTCTCGCACGTCTCTGCATCATCTGCCTCACCTTCAGTTGTACGTCATGAGATCTCTCACCTGCTGCGTGGATAATCGTGTGTAGGGTGATACCTAGCTTAGCATCTATGCTAGCGAATCTTGCTTCGCCTGATGTCTCGAGCAGAAATGGGTCATATGGTGATTTGAAGGCATCCGAGAGCCACTGGATCCAATCTTCTTGTCTTTCGTCGCCCGATGCCGTCACGACTGCCGCTACAACCTGGGATTTCCAAACCTCCAGGTCGTGTATCTTGGGCCATGCAGGGATGTTGATCTTCTCGTGTTCCTTCCGAGATATCTTGGAGCCACCCGAGCTAGAGGATGAAGCGGCACCATGTTCGGTTGCAGCTGCATTCTCAGCGTTCATGCGCTCCTCTTCATACCTCCTCCGGTACTTATTCCTCTCATCTCTGAGTCGTGCTGCATGTGCTTCGAATTCCATCATGTCCTGCTGGTTCTGCATCATACCTTCGTAGTACTCCATTGCCTCCTTCTCCTCGGACCTTAATGACTTCTCGGTACGTCCAAGTTCCGCTCTAAGCTTGGTCATCACCTCGTTCTCCACATTGGATTCTGATCCCATGTCTGGTGGTTTCATCTTCAGTGCGACCTTCAGTTGTGCTTCACTTGCGCTTGATTCGATCAATTCTTCCTGAAGACGTTTCAACATCCTCTCTTTACGTAGAATGTCTTCTTCCAACATGTTCATCTTGACCTCAGCTTTCTTGAGTTCGACGTTGGATGGTTGAGACGGTCGATCGGATCCTTGAATCCTCGCCTGCGTCAACTCCTCGTTCGCCCTCTTCAATTGCTCTCTGATGGTCATGATGAAATTGTCCTGATTATAAGATCGGTTGTTGAGCTCCTCATTCTCTTCTGATAACCATTTGATCTTGCTTGTATACATTGCTTCCTTCATCTTCATCTCCTCAGCATATTCGTGTTTGTTCCTGGCACTCTGCCTTTGTAGTCCAACTAACTCCTGTCTATACAGATCCCTAATGTTCTCAGCATCTGATACTGCAGTCATGACCTCGGTTATGGCTCGATCTCTTTGCGCCGATATAGCCTGGATCTCTTCCGTGCCGATGCTCACAACTTGGCTAACCATCTCTGCGCTTTTGCGATCAGCGTACTCCCCTAACTGGGTGAGACGATCCCGCATTGCCACACGATCAGTGTCAATCTGGTATTGCAAATCGTGTGCTGCTGAGAGCAAACAGTCTCTGGATTCTGTAAGTTGGGAGATTCTTCGTTGATTTCCATATCCTTCGACATAACATTCTTCGAGGTGTGCCATCACTACTTCGTGGACTTCGGTCTCATGTTGTATAATCTGGTTCTGTCTCTGCTCACATTCGACCATCCATGCGTTTTGGTGGTTCAACATATGCACTTCGGCAAGTAGTTGTGCACACTTCGCATTGAGGTCTCCATCGGCCCGTGCTAGTTGTAGGTTGTCGGTGCTTGCCCTTGCTCCATCTCCAGCTTCGCTGTCCGACGGCACTGGTACAGTTGACCCATCCTCCAAAGCTAGCACTCTCACAGCTCCGGTGTCAGTCCTCCTCCTCGTCTCCCTAGGGCTACGGCCCGATCTCGGTGTCCCCCCCGGTGGTGTCGAGTGCGCTGACGGGGAACGGCTTCGTGCTCTACCTGTCGCATCTTCTCTCACCGCTGCCAGAGTCTCCACTTCGATCGTACCTGGACTAGAGTTGTGGGATGCACTCATCCGATCTGCGGCCGCAGCAGCTGCCCCAAAGGATGCAGTGCTGGCGTCGGATTGGTCCATCTTCAGTGACTGAGGGTAACTGATCTATCCGATGCGTGTGCGTTTAGATGGTGTTGTGTAAGGCCGTAGCTCGTACCCAGCTCAAAGGAGTCTGGATACGGCTGATAACCTGCGAACGGATGAAAAGCGTGCCCCTGGCCCCGTTCTAGCCCTTAGTTCAACATGAAGCTCGCGCGCTAAAGCTCCTTTTTACCTTGTTGGGCACTTGAGCCAAAAGTATATGGCATGTACCTGTATAGCGACTATACTGAGACCTCATCCCTATTGACAGAAAAGGAACAAGATGAAACACCTGAGACGCTCCGCAGCTTGCCAAAAGGAACCTTCCCCACCTTCAAAACCATCCAAAACCTCGATCTATATTGGGAGTCCAGTCGATCATGTCTTAAAACGGTCTCACGAACGGTGATCCGAGTCCAGGAAATTCCGAAATTCCTTGGGTTTCCGCCGAAAATCGTCTTTGGACTTCTAGGGTCATTCCGGGAAAACGCTCGGAATCGGAATGGGACCGGGCCCAAAGCAAATGGGTCTCCTCCGAGTGGAACTTCGAGGCCCGCCAAAGGCGACAGTCGAACTTCAAGGGCTCGGAGTTCGCGGCGAAGACGCTCCCCTTGGGACACGTGAAGCCTCGAATGGGTCGTAGTTTTGATACGGGCGGTTGGGAAAAGGACCGCGGAAAATCTGGTGTTTTTGGGGTGGGTCGGATGCGGATGCGCTTTTTGGTGTCTTGATCCAAGAGGTCAGAACCTGCATGCTTCTTCTCGTCTCGGGTGTTTTCTGGGTGGATGGTCCAAACCCACGGGGGGCGTAGCCTTGGAGGTCCTCCCTATTCTGAGGAACGGTGATCCGAGTCCAGGAACTTCCTGAACACTTGAGTGCCGAAAATGACTTCTAGGGTATCTATCACTTATTAGAGCCCATCACTCACTGATCGGAGGGTGGGATTGGGCAATTCACACCTCACGGATAGGGTTTCACATGTAACACTAGGGTGAAGAACAAAATGCTTTGTCAGAGTGAACAAGTAACATATACCCTGGGAGTCAAAGACTATAAAAAGAGTGGTCTTTAGGGGACCTGAAAGGGAACTTCCTTTACTTCAGCCAGTCAAAATATAGTCTTTGGACTTCTAGGGTATACACACCCGCATTTGGCCTTTGCACCTGTCCAGGCGGCCCTAAGTCTCTGGCCAGACATAGACTGTACGGACCGTCGTCGTGTCCTTCGCCGGTCGACGTGTCCTTCCGGCTCCGCTCCGGACAAGGTCCGTTCCGAATGGCTCGGCCCGACCGCGTCGCTGGGATCGCGGCGCGGTCTTCTGCCTGTTGGACTTGGAATGGAACCCTTTCTGGTCCGGCCAGTGTATGGAGGACGGAGGGGTGGACGCGAGGACCGCGAGTTCGGACAGGTGAACGCCCTAGCTCAGGGATGGCTTGTGGGGGGGGTGGACCTACCAAAACGATCCAAATGGTATCTCTTGAGAAAAGCAACGAGGAGTAACACTTCAAAGCACTGTTATACTGTTGAAATCTGTTGAATCATTTTGAGAGTGTGTGGCTACATCTTTGGCTCCACATCAAAAACATTAAAGCCCTCTAAAGCCTGGAACTGGCATGATCAGCCAAGAAACCCTGAGCCCTGAGTTCATTTACAAGGCCAAAGAGTTCCCACGCTCGCTCGCCCACCGTGTCGACCGTCTGCGAGTGCACGCCCAACAGTGGCCCAACAGCGGCCCAAAGCAGCCAGATCTGCAGCAACTCCAAGAACGTGGCCACCATGCTTTGAGACGATACGAATGGCTGCGCCGGTTTCAAACGTCTTCATGCGCGCCGGTTCCAATCTCCGCCCAGGTCCATGAAAAGGAAACGAAAAACAAAAGTTTAAAAAAAAAAAAAAAAAACAGCAAATGCCCTGAAAATGGTGTTTATTTCGGACTGTTCTCTGAGTGAAAGCGATCCGTGATCAATCAGGCTCGGCGAAACGACATGAAACGGAAACGATCGAATCAATGGCGATGGTCATAGCTGTTGCACATGATATTGATACGTCTCTGTAATTCAAAGGGTGTGCCTGATGTACTGCCTGATGTTTGGTCTCAGAGTGGCACCAAACACGAGGTCGTTCGATCAAGGGGACGCTGCAGAAGGTTCCGGGAGAACCCTCCGCGAAAGCCCAACCTTTCACGTTCTCAACGTTTCCACTGGCCCCATGGCCATTCCAGACTTCAAGGACCAGAATCTGAGAGTGAACACCATCATCCCAATGACCTTCTAAGTCCTCCCCGAATCCTTGGAAACCCGGCTTTGACGCCGCGGTCTGACCTCCGGGCACCCGCGCCCAGCCGTCGGCCGAGACGATGCCCCAGCGCTTGAGGTCGCCCCGCTCCGGGAGCTCGGCCACCATCTGCCCGAACGGCCGTTTTGTGTTCATGTTCAACGGGCGGCTTGAAGGAAAAAAGGACGGGAGTTGTACAAGTAAGCCTTCAAGTGTTGGAAAGAGTGTTACAAGTAACCCTTACTGTAAAACTCTTCAGTTGAAGGGAAAAAACGGGTGGCTTGAGTTGTACATTCAAGTGTTACAGGAAGTGTTTGAAAGAGCAACTCCTCAGAGATGCTGAGATGCTGGTGCGTGCGGCAGATCAAGGGATGCTGGATGAAATCAGGTTGATCTCTTCAAGTCATCCCAGATCACAATCTGCAAATGGGCAGGCACTCTTCCTATTCTTCCTCGTGCTCAACTCCTCCTCCTCATTATCTTCTTCATCTTCTTCTTCTTCTTCTTCTTCACGGTCTTCATCCTGGCCATCATGACCATCCTCACTTTTCCTCTTCTCCCCCCGCCATGCTCCTGCCGTTCCCTCCGTGCCCATTGGCCTTGCCACCAGCCGCACGGCGGAGGACAAAGGTCACCTCCACCGGTCGGTTTCGGCAATTTCGGCGGTGTCGGTCGAGGAAGATGTGTGTGTGTGTGTGTGTCTCGATTTTTGGATGAGGTGTTTCACTCAAGAACACCTTCTTCATTTGGGGGAGTTGATGATGTTTCACTCAAGAACAGGGGTTGGGTTGATGATGTTTCACTCAAGAACAGGGGTTCTTGATTGGATAGGGGTTGGGTTGATGATGTTTTTGAACGGTACAGGACCAAACCGAGAGTGAGACTGTGACTTCAAACAGGACCCAGGCCTTTTGAGCTGATGGGACATCACAACAATAATGTCCAGAGGGTGGGAGGGGAGTCGGAAAAAGAACTGAATCCTCTTCATTCAGGTAAAAAGTAGTAACGTTCAATCACGTGGATGTTACCGGAAAACTGCAAACAAACGGCACCCTGCAGGCCGAAACGTTTGACATGAAAACTACACCGCAACGTCTCAAAGCAACGAACCGTCTTCGGAAAGCAAGAACCTCTTCGGAACCTGTTCGCCCGCCCATCTGTTGCCACATGACGTCATCATTGGCCATACCTGCCGTTCCGCCCAAAAGAAACCGTGCCGCCGTGCCGTGCCGCCGTGGGGCGCCGGCGCACCTCGTCATCTTGAAGCTTCACCTGAAACGAAGCAACCGGCCGAAGCGACTTTCCTCCGAACCGATCGAAGGGTCGCGTTTGGGTGTACGACCGAATGGGGAGAAAGACACGGTTCTTGTGTGTCATTTTGGGTCCGGTCGAAATTCAGATCCGAAAACGATCCTCCAGAAGCTTTCTTCACGCTGCCCTGCAAGACGCTTCTTCCTCCCTACGCTTTCAATGCACATGAACTCCGAATCCACCGGCGGGACGGACTCCAGCAGTCGACGTTTTGAAGCCGTCGACTGACCTGCTCCGGAGCGGGAGGGGACGGGCGTTGATGGACGTGCGGTCCGAACAGCGCGCGCGTGGGCCACCCGGGTGGATCAGCTCCCAGGTGGATCAGAGTTGCTGGTTCTTCTGATGTTATTGCGTTCTTGCGATCAGAACTAGCAAACTGAGACCCAACCTGAGACCCAAAGGCGTGTTCCAATATGGTTTTCTTGGGATCCTTAGAACAAGTGGCTGTTGGACTGGGGAAACATCGTTCGAAGTGTTATTTTTGCATTGGGACTAGGGTTTCCAGGAAGAGAGCCAGCAGGGCCGCCAAAGCGATGCGAGTGGCTCCCAGGTTCTATGGCCGCTTTGGAGCCCTCAAGTAGGTAGAAGATGAGGTCAGCTCCAACAAAATCAACCATTGTACAATTCCAAAGGCTCTACAGGTTCCCAAAACAGGTTTGGGGAGAGGTTCGTATACGCATTCCTACAGATTCCGTTCCGTTCCTTTCCATGTGGGGACGATGGCAAGTGCCAGATCTGACCCTCGACCTTCCGCGCCTTCAACTCATCCTCCTTCTCCTCATCTGCCGAGATCACAGGCACCTGAAGCACGGAAGCCACCCTTTTGTTGACTCAAAGGCAGAGGGTCCGTGCTTCCACGAACCCTCTGGGTCTGGGTTTGAAAAGGACTCCCCTGTTTTCTTAAAAATTTTGTGAAAGGTTTGGGGTTCATGTTCTGGTCTTCCTTGAGCAAGCTCAGTCATAGCACCAGCAGACTGGAAGGTCGTTCGTTACAGGTGGGACACGACCCATCCGACCATTCACCCCATTCACCATTCACAGCATGCTTTCCTGTGGAGAACCTGCCAAAGAATCTGTCTCTTAACTCGTGCATGTTGCTTTATTCAGTACCACCCCCCACCGGTAGAACTCAAGTGATGCACAGGCGACTCTCCCACGTTCCGGGCTTCAACGACAACGGCGAACCGGACTCGGAGAAGTGAACGGAGTCACCGGTAGTTCGAACACGGTGCGCGAGGCTTTCGGGCCGTTCTGGGTGACCCGTTTTTGGGTGAGGTCACCCGTTTGTGTTCCAAAAGCCACCGACCTAGACCTAGACACTGTAAAAATGCTTGGATTCTCATGATAGACCAGCAAACGCTCATGAATCGGCTTTTCATCATACCAAATCGATGCATGAAAACCTTGAGATCATGCTGACCCGGTTTCATGATGACCTGACCCGGCTTTCATTCCTCACAGCATCCGGCGTCGCTCTGGGCGTCGACGGTGTGAGCTGACCCCGCTGGCCCTCTCACCTCGATGGCTTCGCCCCGCAACGACCTCGCTGGAGGAAGACCATGACTGCGGCGAGACTGGTTGAGAATAAGGGGAAAGGCTGACGTTGATGATGAGGAGGATCTTATGGTTGTTGTGGTTGTGGTTGTGGTTGTGGCTGTGGCTGTGGTTGTGGTTGTGGTTGTGGTTGCGGTTGGGGTTGCGATTGTGGTTGTGGTTGTGGTTGTGGTTGTGGTTGTGGTTGTTGTTGTTGTTGTTGTTGTTGTTGTTGTGGTTGTTGTTGTTGCTGTTGTTGTTGCTGTTGCTGTTGCTGTTGTTGATGATGATGATCAGTAGGTACCCATGTCCCCACCCTGCAAGGACTGTTGTTTGCCGCACGTCTTTTTCTGCGTCATCGCCGGTCGTCCAACGCGAACGACGCCATCTGCTGCAGAATGGCTGCGCCTCAGATCAAATGGCTCGTGCAGCCGATCTCTGCGCTGTTCGTTTTGGTTCAACATCAACCCTGGGAATCCTACCATGTTTGAAAAACGGTCTGACTATAGGACTATGATCCGAGTCAAGGAACTTCCCTTAACTTCGGCGGATCACCTCAATCGTCGAACTGGACTTCTAAACATATCGTTGGTCCCCAGGGGAAGATGCCCCAAATGAAAAGGAACATTGGCGAAGTGTGCAGCACGATGTCGCTCTTGATTCCCAGGCAGTTTTGGGTAGCCAACAAAGATTCATAAAACATCACGAGTGGATTCAATCCATCTGTTGCAGAAGCTTCCAAACTCTGACCCTGGAAACCGACCATGTGCGGTTTGAATGGACTCAAGTTGAGGTGACTGGACGATTTGCAGATCTTGAAGGAAAAAGGAAAAACAAAGCCCTGTCACATGGTCCTTTACATTCCGTTTTCCGTTGGGAGGTGTTGCAGAGGCAAAGACTGTCCCGATTCATCGGCCCCCCCGTCCACCGCGGCACCGCTCAGTGCGCTCAACACGCCCAGCGCCAGCCCCACTCCATCCACACCGCCGCCGCCAGACAAAGCAGTGGCCAGGGAAATGGCGCAGGCGCCAGAGTACCTGGGAAAATGGACTTCTCCATCTGTTGAACTGGACTTCTCTCAGGGGCCCGGGAAAGTATCGCTGGATCGTCCGACTCTGCCCAAAAGCACGACCTCCGCCCTATGGGACGAGCGCACACGTTGGCAGCCAGCGGGGGGGATCATGCCCAAGAGCGTGGCGGGCAAGAAGGTCTGGAAAGGCACGTCGCTCAACGGCAGCGCATAGTTGTTGACCCAACTGGGGATCGGTGACAACCTCGAGGATCAGATGTCGCGTGGAGGCAAGGTGGGAGTGTGGCCTCTCAAAACCAAAGGTCCCATCCAGTGGTGTTGAGTGAGTGAGTCACAAAGGAGTGGGTTGAGTACGGGGTCCCACCATGTGAGGTCCCACGAGTGAGTCACCAAGGAGTGGTGTTTAGTCCCATCCAGTGAGTGGATGTTCTTGTCATCCCTATCCTCCAAGCTCGGCACTCCTTGACACGTTTGAACTCAGCGACTCAGCGAAAAGTTCGCAAGTACACGGTCAACCGCCAGGCCAAAAGCACGGACTCCCAGATCTAAGAAGGGGCCCAGTCAGACACCGGAAAGAAACACATTGCGAAATAGTGTTTTCAGACGTTTTCGGGGCCAAAGCTGTAGCCCCACATTGCTGGAAACCATCAATCCCTGCCCACCTTGCCAGCAAGCAGAAGCGGAAGGCATCCCTTTGCACGCCCCGCCGCACCCGCGCGCCCCACTCACCAGCCGCCGTCGGTAGCACGCCCCTTGGCACAAGGTTGCTGGCGCGGCGCGCGATGCCAAAGGTCACAGCAGCCGCAGCGCCCTGCACTGCTGCCGTGAACGTGGCGTGTTGGGGAAGGGAGAGTAACTGTGTTGGTGGGTGTTGGTGAGTGTTGGAAGTCAACACTCCTGCAATCTCCAATGATTCGAGGAGATTTGGCGGCTCAACCAACCCCTCACCATTGACGCTTTAAAGCCCGTACTAACCTGCCACGGTCCATGTGTGAATATCATGAACAGCTCACCTGTGGCCACTCCTCAGCCACGACAGGAGAACTTCAGCTAGGCCCCTAGCTGATATCAGCTCCCTCTCTCTCTTCCACGGAGAATCACAGCCAATCATGCAACGTTGCACATGTTAAGCCTGTTGAGCCCAAGGCCGGGAGTGAAACGTCTGAGTCGACTGTCGGCTCAACAGGATTTCCTCCACCGCCGAGCCAAGGCTCGGACGACCCGCCGATGCGGCGGAGCGATCTCGAAATCGAGCGGAACGAACCAGACTTCACCCATCTTCCACAAGACTTCTAAACCAGACTGGTCAACATCGACTAAGCAGCTCAAGTGAGCTTCACACGCAAAAAAAGTTCTTTGCTTCGATGAATTGGAAAGCTCGGGTGCGAGAATGCAAACGTGAGAGCGTCCCCAGCCTTGGTCGCTGCTACCACAGCTACTCCCGGCAAGAAGCCAAAGACTGCTCCTGAATCCAAACCGAAGGTGAAAGACCATCCAACTAAGTATCCCGGTAACCATTTAGGGGATGGGATCGTGGAAACAGACTTTGTAGTACAGAATGACCTGAGCCTTACAAAAAGGGGGTTGCAACAGGGATCCAAAAGTATCTGCCTATCCCTTCCCACCCATTCCCTCGATCACCCTATAGATCAACGAAAACGCAAAGGGTTCGCTAGCTGGATGTATTTGTTCCCACTCCCGAGGCCCTACATCTTAACAAACCACCGCAAGAAAAACCCTGTCCTGATGGCTGTTCTGATCAGTTCTGATGACTGTGCCAGTTCTGAAGTGATTGATTCAGCACCCCTTGGACTTGGCCATGTGGGCCTCTTCCCGTGGCCCAGATGTAAAACCATCTCAAACGGAGAGGATGTGGGTGTGGGGATCGGTCAAACTGGATAAAGCAAAGGATGCCAACTGGCATCGTGGGTCATGGCACCAGACCAACCCGTTGACCTACCTCCATGGTCCTTCACTAGATGTTGGAACCAGGACTCCAGGCTTTGACCCAACCCCAACTATCAGCAACTCCTCGATTTCTTCTTCACTTCGTGACGTTGGAGCTCTTGTTTTAGGGACCTGATCGAGGCCAAATCAACTGACCTCAAATTCCGGGGCATCAAGTTCGGTCCCGAACTGAAGAAGGTATCAACAGCTACAACCACCGTCCCAACGCCAACTCTCTCTGCCCTTGCGGCGCCGCGTCTCCTGCTGTCAGCTCAAAGGCAGCAGTGCCGGGGAAGCAGGCGACGATGGCCGCGCAGTGCAAGAGCCTCACGTACGCACTCTTGGCAAGGTGTGGGTTCTGCCACTCAGATCGAATAGACTGCAGGTGAGCACACAGGCAGGAAAGCTTCTGAACAAACTCATGAAAAGGCTGATGTTCTGGAGTTGCTCTTGTAAAACAATCAGTGCAGAGATTTGCACAGATGTTTTTTAAGGTGAGAAGGTGATTGTTTTTTTGGCAAAGTCGGATGCTGTGACTTCTCTCAATCTGCGTCTTCAGCGTCTTCCTGCCAGAAGGAGACAAAGCTCTAGAAGTACATTGACATTGCACGGTGATATCGTGTGTGTGTGTGTGGATTGGTACAATGGCTGTTTGGCCCATCAGCCATACCAATACACTCCCAGTCTGTCATTCTTCTCGAGTCGCATCCTGAACGATGCTCACATGACTCACATGCGACCTCAATAGACTTTGCATGCAAATCATGTAGGTTCAGAATAGATGCCACCATGGAAACGCATATCTAATGCCAATATTTACCGTGGTTGACTTCAGTATATTCTGAATCCATGAGTGAAATCCCAGAAGTGAGGTTTTAGATCTAGCCTTCATCACCGGGGTTGACTTCAGCATCTATTCTCAAGTAACAGGTGAAGACTGATGAAGGCTGTGCCTTTTGGTGTGCGAAAACAACACAAAACACGCCACGAAAGCACGCGAGACGGCGTCTAGGAGCCGGCAATCACGCGACGCACGACCACTGGCCTACGATTTGTTCCTATGACTTACCCGGCACGCTCCACCAGGATTAACCATGGACAACTCCAAACAAGTGGTCCGATCCAGTCAGTGAATGTCACAGGGGCACCCCGACTTCCTCCAAGTTCGGCACCCCCTTCCTTTGTCACTCCTGAAAAATTTATATACCCGTTTTGATGGATCTCGGTGGATCTCGGGGTAATGCTCACGTCCACCGCACGCCACCGGTCCAGGCCAGGCGGCATAAAGGGGGCCGGACCATAGGGCCCATCGCGCATCAGTTCCAGAGCCGTTTGGGCCATCGAGTTGCCTCGGACGGCAGACACGCCTGCGCGGAGGAAACCGACTAAGCGGATCCCAATGGCGGGTTGGGGAGGACTGTGGGGTGATCCGTTAAGCCTTGAAGAGTTGATAAAGATGAATAAACTGCAATGCTGTTGTTGGGTTAAATACCTTGACTCGTCCAATTCAACCATATATCTTGGGCACCACCTCGGGTGGCCACCCACTAATGCTGGGTCATCCCCGCATCCCATCATGGGAACGGCCGAGCCGCTGTCAAAGGCCAAGGCATTGGAAGGCAACAAGAAGGCCAACAGCAGTGCCTTTCGACCGTCGAGGCGCCCTTGGTCCCGGAGGAGCTTTTGGTCGAGTTTGTTCGACCAGAAGTGGTTGGCTGGAACTGGCACGTCACGTTTCATTGCTCCAAGTAGCCGTTGTCATTAGCTCCACCCACAAGGTCAAGGCACGTTGACAACATAGTCCCCGCTTTCAACCGTAGTTACCATCTGAGACCCGAGATTTTGAGTTTAAGCCCACGAAATCCTTTGCTTCAACCTCCAGCTCTACGCAGCTCAAGAATCAAGAAGCCACCTGGAAAGGCGTATGAAAACATTTTTTTTGTGCGAAGGCTGTTTTTGGACAGAATTTTTCGAGCGGACATTTTAATTAACAAATTAGCATAATTAGCCGTATGGACAAAAAAAATACTGTACAAAAGCGTACCCATATGAAACCCAAACTTTATCAACGTTTTATTGACCAAAACCCAAACAAATATTATATTGATAAAACCCCAATCAAACCCAATATTCGGAGGAATTCCAGCCGTATTTGTCCACAAAACAGGCCGGATGCACGGATTTTGTTACGCGCCACGTGTTTGAACCCAACAAACATGCACATTTGGATTCCCTGGCACATCATGCCCTCCTCGCCTGCAGCACGAAGTAGCTCCTTCGGACTGCCGTCCTCCGTCGCGCGACCGAGCCGCTCGTCGCCTCGGGCCGCACGGAGCCGCGCCGCTCGAGCCGAGCGGAAGGAGGCGCCCGCGCCATGGGTCCTCTGACGCACCCAGGTTCTTCAGTTACCCAACTTGATATCTTCACAATCTTGAGACCTGGAGAAGGTTACAGACTTCAGAAAGGTGGGACCCTGCATTTGGCTCATGTGGCGACCGGTGTCCCAACGACCTGTCGCAAGCAAAGGATCTCTATTTCCAAATTGCCATTGTTGGTCATACACAGCAGGAATTCACCTCATCTACGAAACCTTCACCCAGCACCCTACACATCCCTACACCAAGAGCAACCTCATGGCGCTCAAACCCGCGCGACGGATCGGGAAGGGATGCGATGGACCGAACAGACCTAAGCGGCTGAGCTTTTGGAGCAGGCCACCAGGCCACCCAAGAGGGCACGGCTGACGGAGCCGCCATCGGCGGTAGCAGAATCCTGCAGACTTCGTGGGTGGGGCGAGACTGGGCTGTTGAGGGGTGCGATTTCGTTTTGACCTACGCCCCAAGATCTCCACCGACTCCTGTGCACCATTGACCCTGCACCATCCACCTCTGTGTTGGGGGAAGGCCAGCAAAACCCAGCGGTTCGGTTGCATTTATGAGTTTTTAGACAGCGAATACAGTATTTCGAGGCTCTAGACAATCTTTGTAGATACGTTGATCCAAACTGCAATTCACCTGCATCTCCTCTTCCCTCAAACCAATAAAACGGAGTCTTGGGGTGAGAAGCCCTGAAGAGCCAGCATCTGCACGCCACCCACACCTGCAAAAGTCACACTCATGGCATATCAATTTCAGGAATCACAAAACATGCCGAACTGGGAGGATAGGGGTGCCCAGAACATTCACTCACTGAATTTGAACAAAAGACCACCCAACTCCATGTGACTCCTGGTTAGTACTGTTTAGTGCTTTTCAAAGATTAGATACTGAATTCTGGAAAGCCCTACCCCTCGCCACTCGCTCCCCCATGCACCACTCCTTCACCCCGTGGAGCATTGGCGCTCTAGCGGCGCTGGGAATGGCCGCGGGAAGGGCCGCGCGCGGCCGCGCGCTTGCGGGGGCGGCTGGGAACATCCGTCGAAGCCCAAAAACGGTTTTTTCGTCAGAGATGTTCGTTCCCAGTTGGTGGCTTGGACCGTCTGGAGCAGGTGTGCAATGTCCCAGAGCAGCTAGAAGTCCTTTTTACCTTTGTCTGCAGGTCCTGAATTTAGTTCAAAATCTGCAGGCAGTGGTAAAAAGAAGAAGCAGAAGTTGCCCCAGCCTTAGGAATTTCCGACGTCGGTTTTCCATGCAGTGTCCCATATACTTTATCTAATTCAGCATACATCGCACCTCTTGCACCTCGTGTCTAAAACCTCAGAGCCAACCAATCTGAAGGATCAGTGTCATGGGTTTGGGCCAAAACCAGAAGCGATGCATCCCTTGCAGCGACCACAGAGGCGCGAAAGAAGGCTCAACGCCACAAAATGTGAAGCTACACGAAGCCATACTTCAGTGTTTGCCAAACCAAAATGGTTTTTTGCGGCACACCAACAAGTCTTATACTTCACGTTTCTCTCGCACGACATTTGAAAACTGACCCCGAAAAGACTCCCGTGATGAACGGCTGATGCAGGCTGGCGCACTTGCATCATAAACTCGAGAAGGACCCAAAAAGAAAGGCCACCAATGCTCTTGGAGATCGCTCGTCTATCTGATTGGTCACCAAACCCTAGCCCTCCAAGACCATTCAAAGGAAGGTTATTCATTAAGCCCATCAAACCAATGGTGCTTGGAATGCCAGGAGCAAATGTGTGATCCTAAGATCTGTTCTCGAACCGTCGGACGCCGGCTTTTCTCTCCGGAGGCTCTCGGAGACTTCAGTGAGCTAGCGACAGGAGCCGGTAGCCTGGGCAAACGATGCAAACGTGAGCACGTGGCATCCTGTCGAAAGGAATTGTAATCCCACACCCTTGCAACCCAAATGGTTGACTTGAGAACATCAGGGTGCTCCAACACATGCACCCAAGAAACCCCCTTGACCAAGCCAAAGCCAACACGAGATGCCGCAGCCATACTCTTCCTGCTGGGAGCAAATGGAACGTCTCCATTTTCCAGTAAATTCCCTGGTGACAGTTGATGCTGTGAGACCATCCTGACAAATCCAAGTACTATTCAAACGGCTAGCTACCCCGACGCAGCAACACGCTCTCTCCACTTTTTCAACGAACTCAGGGCTCATCCACCTCCTTTGCCTTTCGCTTGCGCGACTTGGACTTGGACGCGGCCGACGCCTTCGTCGCCTTCGTCGCTGTCTTCTTCGCCTTTGGCGCGGTCTTCGTAGAATCCGTGCCTCCGGGCTGCGGGTTTTCCTCAGCCTCCTTGAGGCCCACACAGTATTCATAGAACATCCTCATGCGCAAGGACTGTTGGTAGTAGCTCGGGTTGGCCAAGGCAAAGGCTGCATAGCCCTTTTTCTTATAGCAGGTCTTGAAGCGTTGATTCCGATACCTGCCACTATCCATCTTCTCGTTGTGGAAGTCCTGGGGCCTCTCGCGCACCTGTTGCCACAAGGGCCGCTTGTCCTGTTGGTACAAATCCCACAACTGAAAGATGTCCACATTGCTCTTCTTTGATGCTGACCGTAGCACAAGCCTCTGAGTCGTCGGATAATAGGTCACCCCTCCTCCTGTGTAGGTCCTCAAAGATGCCCGAAGCACAGAGAAGGGGAAAACAGCGGTAGCGAAGAGGCTTTTCATGAGCAAATGAAAAAGCGTGACTCCGTGCTTAGCAGGTCTTTGTGGCTTACACTACCCAAAAGGAAAGGAAGAAAACTCAGACTGTCATTCTCTTCCAACATCCCCTCTATCCCTTTGCTTCTCCCATTCTCCAACCACAAATCGGCGCCTCGCAAAGCGTCCACTCCGACATTTGTGCTCCCCATGCGTCTTTGGCAAATGATAGCTCAAGGCCGACGTCTTTGGCTTCGCAACCTCGCCCGCAGCCGTCTTCGACCTCGAGCGGCCGCCTGCGGGCGTCAGGCGCCCCGACAAGAAGCGCTCCACGAAGTCGCGCGCGTCGTTCTCGGACACGTCGCGCACCTTGCGACGCGCGGATCTTTCGGTCGACTCGCGAGCGGGTTCGGGCGGTCGCGGAGAGAGGCCAATGAAAGCGAACCTTCGGGAGGGGCGAGTGGAGGGATCAACTCACTCATATTCTCCCAGGACCCCATGGCTATGTTGTTCCATGTCCTGACCTCGAGGGGTTCCGAGCGCGGGCGACGCTTTGCTCATTATATAAGCCTCGCACTTCGGACCATGCAAAATCCCCGTTGGTCGACCGTTAGTCGGTCTAATCAGTTCTGCTCTGCGGTCGCTGAGTTCGACCAGGGCGCTGATCGGCTTTCCGACGAGGTCTCTCCATCGCGCTTCCAGGCAGACATGGCTCGGTACTGGGATGGATCGCACACGGAGTTGGACCGCAAGCATACTGACAAGGAGAAAACGATTCCGTAAGTATACCGCAGCAATTCCGAATCCATGTGCGCTGAAGAACTTTATGACTGTGCCCAACCCGTTAAACCAAAAGCACCGGGACCTCGCTTGGCTTGGGCAAACAACAGAGTTATTGGGCGTGCGCCAGCATACAGGGCAGAAGCTCAACAGTCAAAAGCTTGAGATCAGGGAACATCCCCAAATGTCAATTTGCACAGCACACAGTACCTAAGATTCTACACTGCAAACCAAGTCTTTCCCATCTAAAAAAATTGTGATTGAAGGCTGGGGCAGTTACGCCTGTTGATGTTCAGGCTCTGCGTGCGGCCGCCCCTACAATGCTGAATTTCCTACAAACTATTGCACCAATCTGACGGATTTCTGCACCAAGCCCGCTGGATCCTGTCCCCACAAAACGGTGCTGGAGAGCAACTCTCCACGATGACATCACTGCGCAGCAGCAAAAGTCCGGCTGCTATGCCATGGCGATCTATCGCTGAACTTGTTCTGCCTTGCCTTTATGTGTTTTCCATCTCTTCCCAACTGCAGCAGAGAACTCAATGCCTAGCAAGCTTATAGCTGCAGTCGTAGAAAGGCTGCGGACCAGTTGGACCTGTCGATCACAGGGGCATTGTCTGAACCTTTTTCGGTACTGTGCATGTGTACCTTGGGTATATCCTATTCCCAGTAACAGTGGTTGATGGCTCAGTTGAAAGCCATTCTCAAATTGTGATAATCTTTTACCGACTGTTACAGGCATGCGACAGACAGACCCAACATATACCAATTATCATCTCTAAGTAAAGGGACCTTCATGTTCGGATTATCTAAAGACCACGTTGAGAATTCCTAGGGCTCCAGTCGTACTTCAGAAAAGGTGTTTTGAATTTTTCCACCCACCCACCCCAGTCTCACCTTCTCAGGAGACGTCGTGGGCGACATGAGAGACATCTTTCTCCAAAGTTCAGGGGCCGAAAAAGAATACGTATGTACCAAGCGACAAGGTTTCTTGGGAGGTATGTCAAGTCGTCTGCTTTCCAACAAGGGGGTCCGAATTCTTTGTGAACCCACAAACTCACAGGCTCTTCGGTAACTGTTCGGCGCCTCCAGGGGCAGCGCCCTTCTTTTTCGGGCTTGGCCGTTTCTGGGCGTCGGGATTGCAGCAGCTGGCCGTAACGGGTTTGAAACTCCTCACGCGCGGCCTTGGTCGGAAAGCGCTAGAAGAAAAACAAAGACCCTGCAGGCCCAAAGACCCAGTAGCGTTTTTGCATGATCAACTCCAGTTAAATGAGGTCTTGACCTGTAGGTCTGTAGAGAGAAGAGATAAAAAATAATAATCGGTACCAATTGCTGGAGGGTGTTGGCTGGGTGATGCGCCCGACACGGAGGGATGTGAAGGCCCGCCTTGATGCATTGGAAAAAGTCTCAGCAAACAGCGCCTTGAAAGTATCTTCGGGGTATGTCAACGTTCACCGTGAACGAGAAGGGTTTCAAAGGCAATGAACTGAACTATTTGCATGAACCTTGCAGAAAACCAAGGAGAAAAAGCATCCTCACAGGATAGGCCGTTGTGGAAACGCCGCCCTCCCCTGCCACTGCACACACGACATGTATCATGGGGCTGGATCCCTTGTGGGGCATGATGGGTGAACAACTCAAAGTCTATTAACAACCGTTCGTTTTTGTATGTGTTTCTTGCGGTGCAAGTGCCAAAAACGCACTGCGAACACGAATGTTTTGCCGACATCCGGCTCCTTGAGCTCTGACAATCCAAGGGAACCTCTCTTGCAACTTTGCCAGAACACACCCGAAAATCTTTCATGGGTTTCACGGAAGCACCCGTGAGGACCAAGACTTGCACAAGAAAATCATGTGTCATCAGGGCCCGCTTACTCATGCGTTTATATTAATATATATATATATATAAGAGAGGCATGCTCCACTTGCGCCAATATAGAGTTGCCTTTGCCAGTATGGGCTCACTGGTCCAAAATGGGGAAGAAGCCACAACCATCCCTCTATGCAGAAACGCACACAAAACTTTGGTGTCACCAACTGGCGCGTGGGGCAGCCAAACGCAGCTTCACCCAGGTGGTGAGCGGAAAACGCGTGCTGCGCTGCGTGGTGGAGTAGCTGTGAAGCGGCTCAGCATTCCAAAGCAAAGCTGTTTGCGCGCCAAGGCAACTTAGGTTGTATGGCATGCTCCCATTCAAGTAGGAGCTCCCCTCAACACCGGCTTTCATCAACTCAGGGCTGCGCAAGGGTTCAACGCTTATTTCTTGCTAACGTGACTAGGTAAGGAAGCCCACATGCATGCCATACATTCAGGATACCTCTGTCACCACGGTCCTAGCGGCACACGCACAAAGCTGCTCGATGTGTCCCACATTCCAACGGCTGGTCAAAGAGACTTGGCGCAGCGACCAAACGCTCGCAGTAGGACCTTTTGCAACTCAAATGGGTCGCCGCGGTCTTAGCGAACGATTCTGATGGGACAACATGTTCTCCTCCACCCTTCAGTGGTGAAATCCGTGCTGCAAGCATCACAACCCTTGTCATACTGTAGGATCTCCCCCCTCACTGAGCTCACGGCTTTGAGCTCAGCATTCTCTCTTCGCAACTCCTCAGCCTTCACCACCGTCCGAACTCGCCGGAGAACTTGGGCCATAGCAAGGAGTTTGGCGTGCTTCCGATGGAAGGAAAGGGATGAAAAACATCGTGTGTTTGATCTAATACATGAATCATACACCATATATACATTATGTTTCTATAATGTGTCGTGTCGTATATAACTATATTTATCATAATACTATAATTTGTATATATAATTGTATAGTAATACAATCTCCCACTTCCAGAGGCCTTTCCATGCCAACACCACGTCCGGAATCGGAGCACCTGGCGGCGTCTTTCCTCAAGCTCTTCCCCTGGCAGCGGGGCGGACGACGCGACGGGCTTCGTTCCAACAACACACCTGTGGTTCGCAGGGCGGTCTCCATGCGGGAAAAGAACATGGTGAAACCTTGCAAACGGTGGTTTTCGTGTTTTCTTTCTGCGGTGTTTTGGAAGGATGACACCCTTCCAGCGGATGGGCCCGCCCCTCATGTGAACAAGGACGCTGGGATCCTGGGTGGCGTGCTCAACATGAAGCGTCCGTTCTGGTCCCCGCAGGATGGGCGGCGTGATCCGCCATGTCAAACCGACTTGGCGATACGTGTCTTGACCAAGCTTCACCTTCCAGCACCTTCATTCCGGGGTCACCTGGTTAGAGCCGGATTCGGAAACTAATCGGTCGGATTCTGAAACTAGGGTTCTGAAACTGGGGTTCTGAAACTAATGTTCTGAAACTTGGATTCTGAAACCAGGATTCTGAAACTGGGGTTCTGAAACTAGGATTCTGAAACTGGGGTTCTGAAACTAGGGTTCTGAAACTGGGATTCTGAAACTTGTATTCTGAAACTGGAAAGTCAGATTCTGCAACTGGTATTCTGAAACTGGAAAGTCAGATTCTGCAACTTGCCTTCTGAAACTTGCAACTGGTGATCTCCACATCATGCGATAGCGTGTGTGCCTGTGACATCACCTTCGAAGCACATCCAAACCAACGTCATTAGCCCCCCACCCAACCCCCCCACCCCCCAACCCCCCCTTGTCCCCATCGTGTGATCTCGACATCAGTCCAACCCCCTCATCATTCACAAAGTTGCGGAATCCTAGTGAGGAGTCCGCAATGTTGCGGAATCCTAGTTGCGGAACACCAGAATCCTAGTTGCGGAATCCTAGTTGCGGAATCTTGACACTTGCGGAATCCTAGTTTCGGAATCCTAGTTGCGGAATCCTAGTTGCGGAATCCTAGTTGCGGAATCCTAGTTGCGGAATCCTAGTTTCGGAATCCTAGTTGCGGAATCCCAGTTGCGGAATCCGACCAAACAGTTGCGGAATCCTAGTTGCGGAATCCTGCGCAGTTGCGGAACTCGACTTTATCCGGGGTCACCTGGTTTCGCCCCAGCCCACCACCTACAGGGACCTCCAGCCAGGACACCCCGAAAGAAGGTCCAGGTTGTCATTCAACAAGTTGACTTGAAGTCACCCTGTCGTCGGGTGGTTTTCAGATCCCTTCAGGACTCGTGGATGTGACGACGGGGCGCACGTGCTCCTCCGTGCGGCACCCCAGCACCCAACTCCGGAACTGCTGGGTGGGTGAACCTCCTCACAGGCGAACCCATGAAAGCTCAATCTGAAGCATTCCCAACAGAGGTTTAGTGACCTGAACTAGGACCCTAGCAGGGTACCTATGGGATAGCCTATAGGGTTCTTCAACCTCTGTTGGTCCAACCAAAGTGAACCTCTCCAATCCACAACCATAGATCTTCACCCAACACCGGTCCGCCCCACCGCCTCCGCGCATCCAACTCCCCGAGAGCCCCGAGAGCCCCGGCGCATCCAACTCAACGCCGCCAACTCCTGGCCGCGGCCGACGGCAGCGAGACGGGGTCCCGCGAGACGGGGAGGGGTGGAGTTGTCCCGAGATCGGTCTCAAACGAGCAGTTCGGCTAAGAGGCAATCTCTCAAGGGGGAACATGGGCTGAAATGGATGGATGGTGCGACATATGGAAGGTGGTTTCAGGGATGGGATGATCTTCCATTCTGCTGTGGGGTTCAGGGCAATCTACCAAGTTCTTCAGTGAGCTCATACACTTGACGAAAACCGGTGTGCTGTCTCCCAAAGGCCCGTCACAACTGCGTAAGTCCATGGGCCAAGGCCCGGATACACATACAGTTGGGAGACCACCATGGCAATTGGCAATTAGTGCTTGTTGCCCGGGTTTTGACAAGGGCCTATTTTCAAGCACCCACCCACCCACCTCCCGCATCATCACATGATGAGACAAAGAAATGTGTAGTCACGAGAGACTAGATCCTTGTAAGAACCCAAGATATAAAAAGCCCGAAAAGCTCATGAGCGTGGGCTGATTCATTTGGGTGTGCATCTTAAATCCGGGAGAACTCTTGGCCCATTGGGTTTTGGTCGTTCGCTTCGTTTCGTCCTCATCTCGTGGTCGAAAAGGACCATCTCCCCCTCGATCTGGAGCCACCCCCCCCCGCGTATGGTCCCTCCTTCCGCAATTGCTTCACTGGCATCGCAACCACCTCGCAGAGGTGGTGCAGCAGCAGTGTTTACAGGTGCGTGTGAAGTTTCAACCCTCCTAAGCCGGGTACTAGACGGGCTACAACACACTCGAAACATCCTCCAGGACCCAACATGTTGATGCCGGGCGATCCTCCGTGCAAAAGGCCGATCCGAGAGCTGGCCTTTCGAGCCGTGCGAAAGGGCGGGCCTTCCCTTTGACGTCGAATGATCACCCCTGTTCTCCTCTCAGTTTGGGTGGGCAACAATGGCCTCCAACCGACTACAACAAGAATGGTCTGACTAGGGTGCCTGAGTCAGGGACTGTCCTTCACTTCACTATGGAAAAGTATAGTCTTTGGACTTTCTAGGTGTGAGATAGCTTCTTTCAAAGGCTTGGACGAAATCGCTCGCTGAGCACATCAACATCAACTGATCCCCCGAATCGCCACCACCGAACTTCTCGACGGTGCCATCACCATCTCTCCACCTGCCTCAGCACCGGCCTCCGTGGCTCCTTCCAGCGACTCCTCCGGTTTGGGGGGGCAGAGGCCGAAGGATCCCGCGGCTTGAACCCCCGCGGTTCAAGCCGCTGCTTTCCGACGCCTGCCAGAGAACCCTAAACCACCGGGTAGGTGAAAGGTGCCATGGCATTCCATGGGCATTCCCAAACGGAAAGGGCTTGCCGTCAATCCAGGCGACCAGCCGATCCGAATCAAGACGATGGATGGACAGCGGACAGCGGACAGCGGCCCGATGCGAGCACGCTGGCGGCCTGGGCCCTGAACAGCGGACGTGCATCACCGCTGTTCGGGGCTCTCGACAGATGTCCCAATCTTCCATGTGTATGAAAAGCCTCTTTGCATGGGGGGGTCTACATGAATCAAGAGTCTACATGAACCTAGTGACTCTCCCAAAATTGCCAAGCGGGTCTTCTTGAGGGTCCAGCTCTTCTGCCCTTCCCTTCTTCCCAGAAAACAACCCCACACACTGTTGAATAGACAAAGTTGCAGGGGTGAAGAAGCCGCACTCAACGCACAGCCGCGCACAGGGCCCTTGCCGTTTAGAGAACCCCGGTTTAGGGTGACCACACTGTATTGGGGGAAAAAGATCGATGCACGACTCGCTGGTAAGGAAAAGGGAACCTAGAAGCGGATCGTGCATTTGCGCATCGTTCTAGTCTAGAGTGGATTGAGAGTAGATGGCACAAGTTACCCCAAGCTTGGAGGTTTCTAATATTCTATGGTCCCCCCATCCACAGGACGTCTTGGGGTTGCCATCTAGCCATCTACTCTGAAAGCACTCTGACAGCCAATACCCCGAATGAAACCAATGGTCCACCACCGATGCCGATGCCACGGATGCCACTCTTCACGAAACCCATCGCCACGATTCCAGCGGGTCTCCGCTCGCAGGAAAACTCCTGGCGGCTCTCGCGCAGATTCGCCTTGCGCGCGGTCGCTTCGATCGAGGGGCGTCTCGAGGCGGCGGCGCTGAATCGCTGTTTCGGCGTCTACTGCGGGGGGAATCGAATTCGATGGCGGAAACAGGAACTCAGCGCCCGGGTATACCGAGAGTAGGGAATACCGTGGGTTTGGGGGGGAGTAATAGGTGGCATTGCGCCATGGCGCCTCCATGCTTGGTTTGATTGGGCCGTCTGCATCTCTTTGTCTTGTATACATAACCTTATATGAACACACAAGAAGAAAGTGATGAATTCCACAAAGAAAAAACCACTTGGAGAAGCTGCTTGCGCTCATTTGGCCAGTTGACCTGCTCCGGTCAAAGTGGAGACGCGTTCTCCAAAGAACCTGGCATATACATCGGTCTATCCTATTGCCAGTGGATGAGGATGGTTCAGTTGCGGGCGTTTCTCTAAAATAATTAGGGATAATACTTGTTTACCGACTGTTACAGGTAATAGGACAGACCCAACATATACAGTACATCCTGTGTGAGAAGAGGCTCAGATTCATCCCTTTGAATGGAGAACTGGTCTGAACTGGTCTACGAAGAGTTGCACGGAAATTGGTTCGCTGTTGCGTAGCTGATTAATCCTTCCCTGCCCAAAATGAAGAGAATAACAATTCCGCTGCAAAGGAACACCAAAAGGCAGGCCAACTAGATGAACACCCTGTTCCAACAGCCCCATCATGTTTATTCTTATCATGTCCTATCCTTCCAATTCTCTCCTTTCTGGCACCAGGCACCCCGACTGCCAGGTCTGCTGCAAGGTCATCGCCCAGCCACTCGAAACTGCGGCCATCGGTGAAGAGGTTTGTCTTCGTTTCGGTTGCCCTTTGTTGTTGAAAGACCTGCCTTTGTGGCATGATTTTCAAAAATAATGGCTAACCAGCACTATCAGTGGATGGTCTTGGTTTGTTGCGATCTTCAGAGTCAGATGTGCATCATCAGAAACGAGCACATGGCAAATCCACGGGAACCAAAGAAGAAAACAGAGTCCCTCACTTCCGGCAAGGCCCAGGTGGTTCATGGAAGGCTAAATCAATATCCATCAGCGATCACACGCGAGAACCCTCTTCAAAGAACCCATTCTGCGGATCTCTTCTGCTTCGTGATAACATAGGAGAAACCAATAGATCAGTGACACCAGTGATCATATCTGGAGGCCTCTTCTGCTGATGATGATGTCCGGAGCGAAAACAGCGTCAGCGAAAGTTCGGAGGGTCTGCAAAGTGTCCAGACCATGTTGGTTTCAGCTCAACGACTACTGTATGTAGGTCGTGTAACGAATGGTTCCATAGAACTGACTAATGAAAGAATATCCAAGTTCAAAAATATATTACCCAAGAAAGAAATACGAGCTGGGCAACATCGCAAGTTTTCCAACAAGTGCTGTGTCTTTGCCAGACAATGCTGTTTTCAAAAGTGCGTTCCTTTTCATTGTGCCATGTGAGCATACCAACAGGGCAATACGTCGGCATGTGCCCACATAGTATGAGCCAGCATGACAACGCCGCAACAAGTAAGAGCCCGCCAGCAAGTCAGCAACCCAACTTCAGCATCTCAGCGTGACAACATGAACCATATCGGCGTTGATATCATGTCAGCGTATCAGCATCAACGCTTCAGCGTGTCAGGCAGACAGGATATGACCATGTCACCCAAGGCCAATGATAGCCTGACTTAATTACAACATGTCAGCGTGACAACATGCTAGCTGGATGACGTATGCTAGCATTGCTCTGGAACTTTCTCCCGGACGGAACCTGCCTCCGGATTCTCCGGAAAAATCGTCCCCCCCTACCTGCAAACGCTCCCGTCAAAGCTAGTTCCAGACGGAAACATCATCAAGTTGAAGCTGCCCGTTTGGGGCAGGGGCTAACTGGGACGGCGCCTCACTTGCGCACGCAAGATTCGCTCAGCTGTACACACAGCATTTCTTGATACAAGTAACTCACCTGCGCACACAGGATTCGCTCACCGGCGCACACATCGATTACATCCTTGTTCAAGCTGTGCCTGCTACCTCAAACTCACCTGCGCACACAGATTTCGCCCACCTGCGCACGCACAAATTGATTTGATGTGATGTGTACACGATATGTCATTCTTTCATGAAGCGTCGTTGGGTCAGGTCTCCACACACATGCTCGTGTTAATAACGTCCCTCTGGACATTCATCTACATGATGATCTCTTTTTGATCATTGCTTCCACAGTACCATGTAACACAGATGCTCTGCGCTTGATTGATGTTGTTGGGTTGGGATGGGGGGTGGGGGGGGTGTTAATAACGTCTCTGTGGACATTCATCTAGATGATGATCTCTTTTTGCTAATTGCTTCCTTCCTTCCTTCCTTCCTTCCTTCCTTCCTTCTTTCATTCATTCATTCATTCAGCAGAGCAAAGCGGCGTGCAACTGAGAAAGCGAGTGCACAACCGAGCTCCAAGCGCGTGTACAGGCGAGCAAATTCCGCGTGTACAGCCAAGGCTCCGCCCGGCTAACTGCTCATAGTCTCCCTGTCCATCTAGGTCAAAAGCTCCAAGGGTGAAACTCGCAAGTGGTAGAAATACTAGTTACTAGTTGCCCGGGTCAAAAAGGATTCACAAAGCCACATGCGCTTCTCATCAAACCCATTTCCGGTGAATCCTGAATCTCTTCTCGTTGCAGAAGCACTTCTCATAAGACAGACCCTTCTCATATGTCATGAGAAACATATGGCGAAAAAATGAACTTAAAAAGTCACCATGTCACTGAGTGAAAAAAAGAACTGCAGCTTCTCATCTCCCATCTCCCTCTTCTCCCGTCACAACGCCTCACATCGCCGAGACGTAGGCGTTCTTCACCTGAAGAGGCTCGGCCGTCGGGCGGGTGAGCGTGATCAGCTGTTGGCTGGATAGATAGATTCACATGGACCAGGATTCACATGTAACATGAACCCCCAAATGGGTTTATTTGGGCAAATTGGATCTCCAAGTAACATGGACGGGTTGTTGAGGAACATGATGGAAAATGGTCCATGTTAGTTGCTGGGAGTGTACAGGAAACCGATACCAGGGCCCCTGGTGAATGGACACCCCGAATCACCTCTTTTCAGGGCCATTTGTAGACACCCCAAACAGAGGGCCCTGGTAGTTTTGGGTGAAAACCATGGTTTTGTGCAGATGTTCGCTGAAAACCAATCCATCCTGAAGCACCCAAAGGCTAAAATCGGGAGGGTCTAGACCGTTTCTTGCCTTCGCTAGACCGTCTCGTGGCCGTGATGCGAAATACCTTCCGAATGGGCAAGGTTGGCTGGATGACCACATCCGAGGAGCAAACAGGGTTAGTTCCAGGAAGAGTAATTGAGCTTGCTGGAGCTTCTTGACTTGGTGAGGCAGGTGGACGAAACACGGAAAAAGCCCTCCCAAAGACCCCAAGGAAGAAGGACGCTCGACAAAAACATCGAAAACCCCACTCTGGTGCTCCAAAAAAGAAACCCTTCCACCACACGGCAGAAGATTCGCACCTTGCCCATCCCACTGGATGGTGACCTGGCATGTCCAGAAATGGATGATGGTTGCGACGGAGGTCACCGCATTTCTGCAGAACCAAGACACACCATGGCTCAGACTGGTTTCAGGCGGTTTTCACTCACTCACTCCACTTCTTCTGCTTGCCATTGATTTTGATGGGTTGTGTACATATATTTACTAACGTTTTTCCACACCATGCTGATGAAAAAAAACATATGAGGCTGTTTGCATCTTTTCATAGCATCCGTTCACCTACGAGAAGGTTCAAGCTTCACTCTTCACTATCCACTCTACTCTTCAACAATTCCGGAGGCCGGACACTTCACGTAACCATGGGAAAACCATGTGGGTTTTCAGAATTGGTGTTTCCAACAATTCAGGGTTTGAGTGTTCCATTAATTTGCTAACCACGAAACCACGTAATCTTCGAGGGAGGGTAACTGTTCAGTGTTCATGGTCTTTCCAGTCGCTGTTGAACCCCACGACTGGTTGAAACACCGAAACACCTTGCGGAACTTGGGAGTTGGAAATGGCACTGGACTGGAACTCCCTGCGAAGAAGTTGGACCCTAGCCGCAAGCCTTTCACCCCAAAAAACCACCACGGGGCCGTGACCTAAAGATCCATTCGGCTTCGCCCCGGATCACCTCAGGTCCACGACCGGCAACCACTCGATTTCAGGTCGATGCCCTGAAATCGGGGGTGACTCGGGTGTCTGACCTGCAGTCTCTTCCTGGGAGACACACCCCAACGACGAACACCGCCGCCTCATCCTCGTCATGCACCTGGGCGGGATGAAGTGAGCGAAGCTTCGCTTCGGTCGGGCTGGGTGGACTGGTCGAGTTCCCAAGCCTGTGGGGGGTCAGATTGCAAGGTCTACGCACCCACCGGTGTTACAAGACCTTGGAATGGAGAGTTTGCAGCAAGGGTGTGCTGTCCAATGAGGCACGAAGCAAGGGTGTGCAAGTCTTTGGTCTCGCGTTCGTGCATTTCGAGAAGCCGGGGGATGGTGAGCGCGGTTTTGGGCGCTCTCCGCGTTCGCGCAGTCCCCGCCCAACAGGGATTGCCAAGCGACTGAAGCACTCACTGAAGCAACAGGTGTTCACCTACAAAAACCGTGTTGTTTGCTAGGGAAACCAGGTTTTTGATGGTTTGTGGGGACCCTGGATGAGCATCGAAGTGGATTCTGCCTGGGAGTGTGTGATTTCTTTCGTTCCATTTCGACTGAGTGTGGACAGCACCGTCAGCGTGGCACCACGCTGCTTACACGCCCCATCACAGTGGCACCTCTTCCAGCCTGAGTTGGAGAAGCATCCTTCACTGACCGGTCGCAAATGCTCAGCAACGGACACAAACGGACCTCCAAACCCGCAAAATTGACGGAACAAACCAGTTCGTGGCATTCCAGTTCGGTGGTCTCTCTTCAGGTTCAGTTCATGTTGAACCATTTCACTTGGTACACTCCCTGAAACACTGATGGAAGTGGAACGTACGCAGCTGGAAAGCCATTTTCCTCAGGTAAACCATGGTACACCATCATTTCCAAGAGCCTCTGCGTCTTATCAGGGTACAAGATCACAAAACCCATCGAAGAATGACACAAAACCACCAACCCTTCCACCGAGATTGTGAGATCCTCTCCTTTACCCAACCTCTCAGAGCGAAATTCCGAGACCCCCCACGGCCGAGATCGTGCCGTACTCGTAGTCCGCCAACTCCTTCCGCAGGCTTCCGATGGTTCCGATGGCTTCTCCCACCCAAGGAGAAAGTGTCAACCATCCAAGAGACTCCGAAGAAATGGAAGTTCTCCATCCAAGAGACACTCACCGTCCTTCGTCGCGACCCTTGAACATCCGGCGGGTCGGTCAACAGATTTGCGGTCTTTTGAAAAAGGCTCACTGATCAATCCTGAAGTTCGGTGGGCTGGATGGTGTTGGGGTCATTTGATTTCAAATCTTTCTCCCTGGCCTTCTCCGGCCTGGCCTTCTCCGGCCTGGCCTTCTCCATGACCAACCTCTTCCAAAGCACCCGTCCTCTGCTGTTTCCACACCTCTCTTGCCACCCACTTCTGCGCCCAACGTTCGCTCGCGCGAAGCTGAGTCCTCCTCCGAGACGAACCAAATCCGCAGGCGCCGGCCCAGGAGGTCTTCCTCCTCGCCGAGTCCTGGAGAGGCCGACTCCTGCAGAACCGCGAGCGAGCGTTTTGCGAGCGTTTGGGGGAAATCCAGCATGGTTTGGGGAAGAAGTGAAGGGGGTGAAGGGGGTGAAGGGGGTGAAGGGGGGTGAGGGCGTTTCTTTTTTTCAAAAAGGATTGCTTTTTTTCATCTGAAACATGATCATATAGGATGAGTTTTTTCCTCGATGTTATTGGTCATCCCTAGGAGGGGTTCTTTCCTCGGAACATGAAGAAGCATGATGGAAATGTTCCATGTAAATCTACTACGGCCATCAGGAAACGCCGCAGCCGAACAAGATGGAACGGTGTTCAGCCTCGTGGAACGAAACAAGGAACCAAGCGCAGTCTCGACACCGCGAAGCGGCGTCTCCGCTCACCCATGCAATGGTCGAGGTGGCACCTGGGTGGCCAAAGAGGTAGCTGGCACCTGTGTGGCGTTTTTGTTCCTTTCACCCAATGGAACAGTGGGATGTCACACTGCACACGATGTTGCTTCACCATCAGATATCCAGCCTGGATGAGGTTTCTTTGCAGCACCGTTTTTGGTTAACGAATCACTGCTCCGCGCAAGAAAACGTGGAGTCAACCCCTGGCAGTGCTAGTTGGACGACCAGGGCTTCTGAATCGTCTCTGGCGAATCCGAATGCAAAGCATGTGCCGTGATTCGAACTAAATCCAGCATCCAGTCAATTCCCCCCTAACTTGTGGATTGCATGGCCTCTGGCCACTCTCCGACTCGAACCGCCCACTCTCCGACTCCCTCCTCTTCTGCTCGCAGCCGGGTCTGGCGCCTCAAACCGGGGCACCGAACGAGTTCTTCGGACCCCTCTTCGGACGGCTGCTTCTACTTTAGATGACGCGAGGTGCCGAAGCAAAAAGAACCGCAAACACCATCAAGCACTAAGCACACCATATAAAGATCCATCAAGAGAGAAAGGAAAAGAACAACAGCCACTCCATCCACCGCCCGACAACGACTCAACTAACGACTCAAGCTACTCCAAGTACAAATGCCTCTGGCGGGCGCAAGCCAACAAAGCTACAGAGAGCTTCCACGCCACCAACGCCTGCCACCAGGTCTGGTCTCTTGCAGATTTCAACTTTTTGCTCTCAAATCTTCCCTTTTGCCGTTCTCTCTTTCTCGCTTCGTGATGCTTCGTACCAAATGAGTCTCATTCCAAGACTCCGTTCGCATCCACTCACACCCCATCTGGCTCACCTGGCGGCATGCCGCCCCCCACGGCGCCGGGCAGCGCCGGGACCCGCCGCTCGGGAGCGCCGCAGCAGAGCAGCATCCGCGGGTCGGCGCGAGCACCGGTGCTCGCGCCAGGGCCATGGGCGGCGCAGGACGGGTGCTCCGAGTGGTGTGGCGCTGGCACTGGTGTTGCGTGGTTCTTTAAGCCATGAGTCTTTTTGGGCCAAGGGTGACGAGGGGAGGTGGGTTTGTAAACCCATGAGTGGAATGGGGGGCACCTCTCTGTGAACTCCTTTGCCAAAAACCTGGTGTCAGGATCTTGTGGTGTTCTTTCCTTCATGGTGCTGAATGTGGAGGGTCAATCGATGCTTTCAACGCAACCGGCCGGATGGTGGGCCGGATGGTGAGTCCTTAGTTCAATAACTATGCACTTCACACCTTGGTCTTTTATTCAGTCAGGTCGTGTCAAACCTCCCAGGAAGTTCATGCGGTCTTGCTTTCCCTGCTTGGCAGTATCCCATTAGGAGCGCACGGCCTCGAATGCGCGAGCGCAACGCCTCGAACGCGCTCGGCTCTAACAGTAACATCTTTGTGGCAAAGGGGGAGGAGTTGCATTCGTTGCCATCGTGTGGCTCGGCCTTGCAACTTGGCTGAAACCAAAGGCATACGACGGATGATGCACCACCTGCCATGATGAGCCCTGCCTTGCTTGGACCAGGAATGAGGAAGTGCTCAGCATTCCAATGACGTCAGGTGGCCTGGTGGGCGACCTCTCACATCCACTCGCTCCCTAACATGGAAGATGGATACTGACCCCTGGGAAGACGATTCAGATAGGGTGGACACTCCACTTCCATGTTCGTGAGTGAGCGTGTAAGTGGCAGATTCTACTGTGAATCACATGGCAGTGGAATATCATCTCTTGGGAGACCCTCTTCCTTTACAAACAGATGGGTTTTCCACCTCTAGGTTGGAAAGCAAAACTTAATGGCAACATATTCATAGATTTGCTAGGTTCACGCCCCCGGGATGACCAACTCTCGATCTCCGCTTCTTGGCCCCCCAAGCCGCGTGTGCTCGTACCAGCTCAAGAGGCACCCACTGGCACAATATCTGGCGCGACTGCGTTGCTGTCTTGACCACGTAACAGTCACAGTCAGACGGCTCCTACACGGGGGCATCGAGTCAGTCCAAGAGAGGTTAAGTGACCTGAACAAGGACCGCACTGGCCTACCTCTGGGCTAGTCTATAGTCTATATATGGCTCTTCGACCTCTACTGGTTGAAGTGAGCGGCAGATGTGTCGATGGTCACTTCGGAGACCTGTCGTTATTGTCAACCCCCCCGAGTCCACGTATCGTCAACCACATCTCGTAGTACAAAGTGAAGGCGACCACTTCTTCAAGCCAAGTGGATTTGTGCCACTTCAAGTCGCAGCCATCACAGCCAGAAATGTCTGCCTTACAAATCAGGAGGTGCAATTGGTTGAACCGGTGGGTGGACTGCCACAAGGGGCTGCACATCGAATGAAGATCGAGTCCTTCGAATCACCCCAATGTGAAGCACAAGGGGCTGCACTGCACGTTGGTGTCCCGGTCTGCTCCCCCGGAAGGGGCCCCTGCTTCCCCCAAACGAGCCCCCAAAAACTCCTCCACGCCATCCCCATCGGCGCCGTTTATGGCACCACTGTGGTCGCCGCCACGTCTCGCCTCGCCGCACACTCCGGGCATTCGTGGAAGACCAAGGGCTGGTCCCGACAAATCGCACAGACCTGCCGTGGGCCGTGTAGCACGTCGGGGCCGTGCACAGCGGTGGCGTCGGGGCCTTTCTTTGCTCCTCGTGTTTGCTGTGGGGGCGTTTTCCACGGGGCGTGACAACACGGAGCGTCTGCCAGGCGAGAGATGGGAGATGGAAGGAACCCTTGAGAAGAAAAAACCGGGGGGTCGTCGGGGTAGATGAAATCTTGTGGATCGTATCCAGAAAAACTTGCCTGTTCAATGGTAAGAAATTGCCAAACCATTCTGCCAACACATCCCTGGGGCCAAACATGATGTGTTGAAGGAAAACGGGCAAGTTCCATCTTGGTCTCCATCCCAAGCTCCCAAACCTCCCAACGTGTTCTTGAACCATCCTCACCGTCTCACCCATCCAAACCCGCAAAGCCGGAAGTGATCCAACCGAACCGTGCGTTGGATCACCCCGAACTCCGTGCGTTGGCCCGTCGGTCCGAGCCCCAACTCCGCCCGGTGCGGCCTGCTTGCAGGGATCCGTGAGGCGCGGCAGGGCGCTGCTCGGCCGCGTCCGGGCGCCTCGCGACGCGAAGCGCGACGCGCGACGCGCGGAAAGGGGATCGCAGGGGACCCGTGGGAGCGGTTCCGGGGGGTCCTATCCGGACCCAGCAACTCGGCGATGAACAGAGCGTCTGCGGTTGGGGTCGTTGAACAACCGTCCAAAGTGGGAGTCTGGTTGCTCTGACATCTTAAGGACCACAAATGGATGAAAATGGGACAAAGAAAACTCTGCGGTGAGCACTCCGTCAGAACACTGCAGGTGCATTTGGGTTGACCACAGAATTTGTGAGAGGGTTCTGCTAGCTAAGCCATGAGAATTCGCGTCGACTCAGCTCATGTCACTGCACCTGAGGATTCCTGACCCACGAGTATGTTTGACGAAAGTTCCAGTCCCGAACAACCATTCTTTTCAATCTACAGTGATGTCACACTATATACAAAACATGACAAAACATGACAAAACCATATATATACCTGCGAGGGGACATGCTTTGGAAGCTCGAAATTAATAGTTTTCGTGG